AGAGAGAGAGAGAGAGAGAGAGAGAGAGAGAGAGAGAGAGAGAGACGACTTAAATAAGATACAGAGAGCGAGATGAGAGAGAGACAGAGAGAGAGAGCGAGAAAGACAGAGGACAGAGAGAAAGAGAGACAGACAGAGATAGAGACGACTTAAATAAGAGAGAAAGAGACGACTTAAATATATATGTGTGTGTGAGAGAGAGAGAGAGAGAGGGGGGGGAGAGAGAGTGAGAGAGAGAGACATACGACTTAAATAAGAGAGAGAGAGAGAGAGAGAGAGAGAGAGAGAGAGAGAGAGAGAGAAAAATAGAGAGAGAGATATGATTAAAATGAAGGGAAAAAAAAAACAAAAGACTCTTCCAATGCTGAATGAGGAAAAAAAAAAAAAAACTTTCGAATCCAAATACAAAGATAGAAAGAGAGAGAAATTAAAAAACAGGGACAGAGAGGTAGACACAAAAAAATAGAGAGTCAGATTTAGAGGAAGAGTAAGCGAAAAAGACAACACATACAAATTTAAGGGTTTTATTGCAAAATCCTTCAAATATTATTATCCATCCTACTTAAATCGCTAACTATCATAGTCCACGTCATTATCACCCATCCTACTTCAACCGCTCATTTTACTTTTTTTAGTCTAACATAATCCACTCCTAATTTTATTGCTTGAATACGATTCACTTCATAGTGAATGATAAAAACAAATTGCACTATTCATCCAGATCGCACCTCCACGAAGTTGCCCTCTCCTTTCTTCCATTGCGAACTGTTGCTGCTCATCAACAATGACATTTCCATCAGGAAATAGGTTCGTCGTGTTGTCACACTTATGTCTAACAACCGTCAAATCATTGAACTTTTTACAATCCCCTCTTCTCAAATGACTTAATAAGCGGCCACACTTAGGACACAGACGCCTAAGTGCTTCAATGAACTCAGGCACCACCTCATGCAATCTTGTCTCATGTTCCTTATTTATGCTCGCCAGAGCATTCAATTCTCTTTTCATATGTTCGATCTCCTTCATAAATTTCATTGGTGAATGGGCGTCAATAACATTCGCCAATAAAATTCTCAGAGTGTACAATTGTTCTTTGTAACGTGTCACCATGCCATTCGTGAATCCCTCATCACATCGATTAGGAAAAGTATCCCTGAACACTAAATCCATTAACTCTTTCCGTGTCTGGTTGTACAAATGTCCAAGCGTGATCACTGTTCCCCTCAACTGACCGTCACTTACCGAAAACTTCATCACATTTTGCACCTCTAAGAGTGCATTCCTGTGTGTCAGCTCCGAACCAACATTTTTCAATTACTCTAACATAGCAATCAAACGCGTTTTTGGAAGGTCTTCCAAAGTTACACTTGATGGAATCTCAAACAGATCGGAGGCAAAAGAAAGATCAATCGATGGTAAAGCACCTAGCACCAATATTTTTCTTATCCCACTCTCGGCTTCTCTTAATCGCTGATGCAAATCCTCACACTGCTGCAACATGTGCGGGTGAACTCTAATACTAAGCTCACAAACTTCGTCTAACAAATCGTTTCTAATGGATGATTGAATTAAATGCTTAAACTCTCTATTCATCTCCTCAGCAGCATTCACCTCCTCAGCAGCATTCACCTCCTTCTTCACAACCCCAACACCGGACATAGAGGAATCTCTTACCTCTTCACTCCGTTTCACTTCAACGAAACTTTCAACCACTACTCGTGCATTCAACTCAACTTTCATAAATGCATTCCTCAATGCATTCACTTCCTCCTCCTTCTTCTTCAACATTTCTAGCAGCTCATCCTGAGTCGATCGAAGGCTTCCACTGTCTGTGAGGTAGCGGATACATACCCTCTTCAACGCAAAATCATTGGGAAACTTACCTTCAACACCATACCGCAGTTTAGGCTGAGGTTCATGCAAACGTTGTTCTCTCTCATGAATCTCGTTCGCCGCGCTATACTTGTATCGTTCCTCACACTTCTGAATGTATGTCTCTTTCAGGTGAGCTTTAATGAGTGGATGGTCAAATGACTCGAACACATCAACATACGCGGCCTTATCCCGATTAGACCGCGATGATCCCTTGACCCCCCTTTCCGTACATCTGTCCACCACCACGTTGGTTTCACCAGACACTTGTCTGTCTGCAGAGACCACCATGAAAAAAACAACAAATATCCCTATACTCTTAAAGACTACAAAGGGCCCAGCGTGACGCCCCGTGCTGGGCCCAGCGAAAATTTGTTTGGCGCTCCGAGGCAGTGGGGTGAGGGGGAACCGGCGGCCGCGCAGGGGCGAGTCCCAGGCTGAGGCGGGTACCGACGGCCGAAGCGGTGGCACGAGGGATGCGGTACGAGGGATGCGGGCAGGGGAACGGGCACACGGGCGAGTCCCAGGCCGAGGCGGGTACCGACGGCCCGGTGGAGGCCAACGAAAAATTGGGGAGAAGCGAAAACCGGAAAGCGTAGGTGCGCAGGCCGACGCGCGAACGAACGGCGGTGTAGGGGCGTGGGGCGAGCTCGTGGGGCGCGGGGGACCGAACCACGTTATCGGAGCGTTGCTTTGCGGGGATCAACGGTGGCCGTGTGTGTGTGTGTGTGTGTGTGTGTGTGTGTGTGT